ATACAGTGCTATCACTTGCCCGCTTCAACAACTGATGGAGAACGAGTTTGGCACCGCGCCAAACGCAGCCGCACTGACACGCCCAACCGTCCGCAGCGAACTACACTATATCTTTCTCTCAGGACAGACTCATAGAAACACCACACTACCACCTGTGATTTGCACTGAACACTCTGTCAAGGATTAAGCCAAGGAAAATTCTATCCTCAGTCCGCTCTCCCTCTCCCCTTCCCCCGATTACTCCACTTTGAGTAGAACAGCTCCTACTTACTATAAGAAGGAAGAGTGTAACTGCAGTATTAAGGGAATAGCGCGAGTGCAAGGGAAAAATCCCTACAAGAAACTCCATCGAGCCGTTTAAGATCCCCTTCCTCAGCGTTTTCAGATGTTGCCAGGAATTTAAGAATAGATGCCCCTCCCCTAAGGGGAACAGCGCTCCACCTAACCTTGTTTTATATTTATCTTATTTTTATTTTCTTGTTGCCACGCGCGCGGTCCGGGAGGCAAATTCCGAATCGGTACCGCCAAGGCGTCTCTTACATTCTGGAGACGGCAAACTGGTGCCAGACCCATTTGGGAGGATAAGAACACTCCCTCGCGCTGACCCCATCAAGCCATTGTATTGGCCACATTGCATTCAGCAAGCCAGTGGGATTCTAATGGAAGCCGAGTGCGTGCCAAATCCAAAAAAGGACTCATCGACGACGAAGACTTTACCCCATACCCTTTGTTTTTTTCAGCCCCTCCTCGCTATGGATAGTCCCCGTATGCCCCGCGAAATAACCGGCAAACATCTGTCTGTCGGACTGCAGCGCATAAATATTTTTCAGGAGTAGAAATTTTCCCACTACTTTCGTCGTTAAGCACCCCAAGTAAAATGCTTTTTTCCAGCAGTTAGTTAGTAGCCAAAATAAGAGAAACTGGGAACAGAGAAAACAGATTTTTCACATGCATTATATACCTTACCCACCGACAAGTTTTTGGGAAAGAAACTTCTGAATTCCGGGAAAGAACTCCGAAAAAAGTTGCAGGAAGTTGAGAAAATTTAGGGAGATGGGGCGGGGCGGATAATAGGAGATGAGGTTGTATTAGTGAAGGAAACCCAGGGGGAAAGGCAAGGAGGAGCGTATTTTGCAAAAAAAAAACCCTGAGCTCGATCCCTTGAGCACCAGTTTATTGTCTGCCTTCTCTAGTGTCCTCAACCAGCAACCATTTTTAACAACTGCGGCGGCGTTGGCTAAGACAAAACTCGCTAAAACATAACAGACTCTTACCTCACCACTAAGAAGATGGATAATTTCAAAAGCATGTTTCACAATGCGAACTGTCATCAGTTTTTTGCCGTTGTTCCGGCCATGCATCATCATCGAATTGCACAGACGTTCAACAATTGGACATCCGGCCTTGCGGAAACGCACCGTCTAAAAAAAAACGTTGAGTTGATGCAAGGAATATCGTTTTTATAGATAAACTATGCAAACTAATCTTACATGCAGAAAGCATAGGGGAAAAACAAAGAGCTACTGGGAGAAGTCATCCTCCAGCGAGGCTAAGATACGTCACATCTTCATCCTCCCCCCGAGATAAGGAATATTCTTAAATGACTTGATCAACGTGGGGACGTCTCACCTTATCTCCTGGACAGCAATAGGGACGCGTTCACACTTTCCCTCAGCGCTTCGAGCGTACGCCATCCTCAGCGTATAGGAAGGTATGGATATCGATCTAGCGTACGCCAGGCATAGTAGCGTTTTCGCGGGCACTTTTGCTCAAGTTAACTACCTCCAAAAACGCTGGCGTACGCCAGATCGATATCTATACTTTCCTAGCCGCCCGAAACGCTGGATTCATACCTATATTTCCCTAGTCGCCGGCGCTGACGTACGTTCGAAACGTTGCCGTACGCTGGCGCAAAGTAATGGCGCAAGAACGCGGCCGCGTGGCTTTGTTGCTTCAGAAATGGCCTGCCTCAGACTCGCTGGGGAGTGGGCCCTCCCGAGGCACATAACTCCAAGAACAATGAAATTAATCAAAGAATCACGGCGTGCAACACAAAATGGACTGAAAAGGAGGACCTGATACCGTCCAGCAGTGTGAGGAAGATATTTGGAATATTTCTCCTTCACTCCAATGTAATCCACCAGTGAAATGTCACTGACATCCACATCTTGTAAGCTCCATTTATTGAACAGCTTAGGCTGAACATAATCGATAAGAGCACCTTCCATCTAAATTTTTTCAGGGTTACGCATTTTTTGAAGGCTGGCTCAAATGTAATGGTAGTGCAATTTTTGCAGCTGCGGACAACTGTGCGTTAATTTTTTGAAACGCAATGAACTTACCTCCGGCAAATCAAGCGGTGCTGGTGCTTGAGCGCCCGTTTGTTCGACTATCACCGACCAGTCGTCAGACATGCTTTACCCTGAAATACTCCTTATCGTCATGTATTCAACTTTTTCTCAAATGAATCGAGGAAATCGAGAAGCGATTTTATTTCATGAGCGAGAAAGAAAATAACCCTCAATTACGCAATTAAAAAAGGACCAAAGAAGCGGTATAAGGATCCCGGCTGCTAGTCGAATATACTATGGCTCAGGCAATGAAAGCCGCTAACTGCATACATTTTTTATCACAATTTGGATGTCTGTTTAAGGCTTAGAGGCAAAGAACGAACTGGTTCAGCTGTCCCGGACTCCCGCAAGGCAGAGCCCAGTGCCATTCGCGTATAATGGGGTTTCAATATGAACACCAAAGTGCCAGGTGAACAATGAAGCAAAAAAAAAAACGGGAAAACGGTTGTTGAACGCTAAACGCGCTAAATAAGGCGCCTGTTGGTTTCAAACTTTCTGATCTATACAAGCGCACCGAAAAGTGGGAAGAGGAGGGGGAGGGCAGAGACGACTAAGAACAGCCCCCGTGCTCGAATTCGTCCTTCCTTATGCAAGTAGTACAGCCTCCAAGCTGAAGACTGTCACACTCACGCGACTCCACAGCGAGCGATGAGCCAGCTACAGCCACTGAAAATTTCTAGTTCTAGCGCCAGCTCAGTTGGACCGCCCACTTACTAGATGCCCTCTGACGGAGAGCCGCTCAGTTGTTTTTTGTTGGGTCGGCGGCCATTCAATCGGAAGTGCATGTCCTTTTTGTTGACCGCGCTCGTGCCCATGGACGATTTTGCTCTCCTTCACTACATTTTATTCATTAATAGCACATACAGTGAACTCCAACCCATCTCGCAGGGTAAAACGCCCGAAAATCACGAGCCACCCAATAGTCGTGGTGTAAAAGCTCGATGCACTACACTACACCAAAAGATGCACACCACCTAACCCTAAATTCAGGACGTCCGCACTTTTGGGAAGTTTCTCTTCCCTTTTCAAGAGTTTTTTCGATTTGTGCCTTTTTGTTGTTTTCCATCTCTTTTCCTCGCATTGAATGATACCCACTACTGGGAGATGTGATAAAGGGATTTGCGAGCCAGGGTTGGCACAGCGACCGCAGCGCGGTGAGACTGTCAGGGAGCAACTTTGTTTAGTGGTGCTTCTTTAAAGGCACATTCCGCGATAAAATAAGGCTATGACCTCTCAAATGTGTCGGACGATCCGGAAGGCGATTTTTGAGGCTGCGCTACTTTCAAAATGTGAAAAACGGCAAGAACTCCGCTAGAAGCTGACTAATTAGGCCCATGGACACCCCTTAAGCCCATGCCGACCCTCACGGCTGCTAGCTACTAGCTAGTAGTCTTTAGTAATTTTATGCTTATAACATTTCGAACTGCTTTTTCTGCTGCTTTTCTCCGCTAATCAGATACTTAGCACTTTTTTTTGTGCCTATTTGAGTTCCGTTTCCCGCATCTTGCTGGCCTGCGAACTGATGCCTTTAAGACTCTTTTTGCTTTTTTCCTTCTCTGGGGAATTACTTATCAGCCACTCTTTCACAATAGAAAAGCAATTCCGCGACACTTTAATCGTTGTCTTTACCGCGCTCAGACATCGCGACCGCATTGGTCGATTGAATAACGCGAACGACTGGGGCGCTTCAGTGCCAAGCGGTGCACCGCCGCAAGGGCAGAACTCAAACTGGGCCACCTTCACACAACGCCAATTTGCACTTCGCCGCTGCGGCCGGGGATCCAAGCCGAACGATCAATCCGCCGAACGCGCATCCGATCATGAAGTCTGAAGCGGTAGGCTTCGCGGGTGGTTTTAACATTTCGAGGGCAATCGCTCAAAACGCAGTCGTACACTGGCATACGTTTAAGACGCTGCCGTGCGCTTGAAACGCTGACGTAAATGAAAGCAGCCTTGATGGAGCACGAATCACCTGGGGACGAATTTGAGGATATATGATGACTGTTTAGTGTCCCTTTGCAGCTCGGTACTACTACTTCCACCACACTCGTAGTAGCACTCCGCTTGGTTAAAGCGCCGGCACTATAAACGAGTATCAAATTGGCCATCAAGGTAGCGCTACAGACGAAACTGCACACAAAAATATCTGGTTGTGACAACAGAGTAGCGCCTTAGTAAATACATATAGTAATCATGAAAAAAGAACCTGTCAAGAAGCCAGTACGAAGTAAAAATGTGTTCGAAGATGATTTACGAAGGAAGGCGGAAGAATGAGCTGCACTACCCAGGCAAAAGATAGCTGATAAGTGCCACCCACGTTCTTTCAAGTCCAAACACGTCAAGACACAAAGGAAAACTCACGAAGTTGCTACAAGCATAAACAATCAGTGCCATAAACAGCAACTAGAATGATTACGGTAATGACCACCGTGGGACCCCCTTGAGCGCGTTAGGCGCCTGACATGGGTTCCTCAGGCTCGGAATACTGAAGTTTCGGCACACTATAATCAGGTCTTTGTCCTGCACAAGACGAGATGACTCTTGATAGGAACGTGGAGTGTAATTTCCTCCTTTCTTGGAAAACACACTTTTGGCCTGGCAAAGTACTATTGTATTCTAATGAGTAATATTCAAGCTATTTTGAGTTCCCAGCTCGAAAAGTTGCTGACCATACGGCACGGCGCTTCGAGGCTTACACAAGTTCTGGCAGCCAATGAGCGGGAGGCCTAGAGGGCTTTAGGGAAGAAAGGGGAATCAGCAGTATTTGCAGGCTGAACCATTACTTTGGAAGGAACTTGTGACATGCCCCACACAAGTAATCCACTCGAATTTACAAAATGAATTTCAGTGAGTGAGTGTACGATGGGAGGGGACCCTATGTAAAAAGGGACGACAATATGAAAGCTGGAGGAGGTAGCACAGCGAGTGAAGGCGTCAGATCGACTTTTGCTATCCCGACAAACGATTCCTGCTCGAGCCGCAAGCCCTCAGAAACTTGCGCGTGACTGAACGGTTTCTCTGCGAAAATGAGGATCTTGTCTATCTTGGCTGAGAGCACAATCCGCGATAGCAGGGATGAGAATAAGGGTTAAGTGAAAGGAGACTGTACTTGCTAACAGGACATCAGCTTGCTGTCATGAAACGAGCAGGTCCGGAAAACTCGTCCAGGAAGACTGCTATTACCTGATCAGAGGTCCTCGCTGGACTTTCCTCTCCTCCTGTCATGACTTTTTTTGGTTTCCTCTTCTCTACAGAGCCCTTAGGGACCATAGGTTCGAAACTGAACGCCACTACCCACAATATGCAATCGCGGGGTATGTCTTTTTATCAGAGGAGTCACACACCTTAGTAACTACAGAATACAGAAATCAACTATAATAAGTAACTTAGTGTATACCGATTGAGTTTGCCGCGGGGCACGACTAGCTCGACTGCACATATTATGCTCCCCACATTTGGATTAGAGCTTCGCAGAAACGACGACGTGATCCAGCAGTACAAAAAAAATCATTTTCTCAATCTCCTCCTACGTTGGTCTCAAAAAACGAATAAAGGTCTTCTTAAGGGGACTTTAATTAATCAAGCCAAACAGTTTTGCTGAGAATATTATTATTAGCCGAGACCAGCGGAGACCAGAACATAATTACTATGACGAGACATGGGGCTAAAAAGTGAAAAAGGGGAACGAAGGTGAAATAGAGAAGAGAAATAGGCTTTTTCTTAAGTACAATAGAGACTAAGCGTACAATAACAGACTAGCGAAAAACGGCAGAAAAAAGGAGGTAGATTAGAAACAAGGAAAAAACGTGGTCGCAGCGTCTACACTCCAACTTGAAGTGCAACCTGATTTCTACAAAGTGCGGCTTCCAAATTCCTTCAACCAGGTGTTAAGAACAATCTTGGAGAAAACATGGTCAAATCTCAACGTTCGCCGCTGAACAGCCCTTACCTGAAATGCGCCATCTAGGTGACTTCCATTGGAAACCGCAGCAACACTAAAACGTGTATTTGGCCTATACAGTCTAACTAGCTGCAAAAGAAGGGGTGTGTCAGGTGAGATGGGTTTGACGCAATGCCAAACCTATTCTCCACCAGTTGCTGTAGCGAGCAAGTGACAAGACATATCATATCATAAATCATATCGATCGCATCACTGGTTTCTACCAATTATTGTCGCATACCCGCTTCAACAACTGGCAGAGAAGGGTTCCGGCGCCGTGGCACACTCATACTGTCTGACACGCCCCTTCATCAGCAGCGAACTAGAGTAAACATGACATCCAAGCAAGCAGATGTTTGTAGTTTTCATCCTCGATCAATACCAAACCTATAATCGATTCTGGGAACAGGGCGAGGAGAAAACTTCTGTGAGATCCTCTCCCCACCTCTATCTATTCGCTGCAATCCTAAAAAGATTATCCGACTGCGGGGAGAGGCATGTAATAGTTCGTCGCCCATAAAACAACTAGTTCACTACCCAACGACCGTGCGGGGAGACACCTCAAACGGGGTGAGAAGAACAAAAACCTATCCTCAAGGTTCCAATAATCACAGTTACTGATGCAGATCTCTCACTACGAGCACAATACGACCTTCAGACGAAAAACTCGAGGGCGGATTCCATCCACGGACCAGATCGTTTTAGCAGCGCCACTTACAGCCCCCTAAGCACAACTCTAGGGACCAGTAATACAGTCCTACCACAAAAACGATGTCTGAATCAGATGTACTTGGAAGGATAGTGGCTGCAGATCGTCGTTTATCTGGTGGACACCGACGGCGCCAGCCCGTTGGTCCAGTCAATCGTGCTGATGACGACCTGAACGGTAAAACAGGAGAAAAATGGAAGCCAGGGCCAAGACACGTCATACTTGGGAATACCCACCGAAGGGGAGGGGATCGTTTTTGTTGACTCGCCTCAGTTTTCTCGTTTCACCTGCGCTATTTCCCCTGGCGGCAACATTTTGGGGAAAGCTTTTGGCCAAACTCCGAAAAAATTCATAATGTCGGGAGATTTTGGGAAAATGGTAGGTAGGAGGGAAAATGGTAGGTAGGAGGAAAGATCGGGGAAAAAATGAGGGGTCATGCCGGTGCAGGGAAACTTGATGGAGTCTTGTAAAAATTCTCCCCCACTTTAGGACGTGCGCAGGCCAGGACGGACTCTTATTACTTTTCGAAAAAGAGAATCAAACAGGCCTATTTTATAAGTGCTCACCATTGTTTCGGAGCTGACAGATGAAGGAAGGGAATATGTATAGGACCCTGGACGGCTAGCTAGGGGATCAGAACACGTCGTAAGCTGAGGAATCACCACCGGGGGTCGTATTCGGTCACAGGAGTGAAGGTGTATTTTACCCGATAGAATTTTTTTGATATTTGATTTTCCTGTTTCACTATCTGCAATGGTGGGAGAGTCCCGCTGGAGGTGGGTCATGCATGGTTCTCTCCTCAAGGGAGGGTTGAATCTAGCCCCCCTCCCCTAGTTCCCGGCAGTTTTCCAAACAAAAAAATTTGGAAAACTTTCGAAAAACTTCGGAGAAAGCGGTAAGAGGGTGTAGCGAACATTGACATTGGGAAGAGGGGAGGGTGTAGGGGATAGCTATACATAACACACGAAACAAGAGAAACCGCTAAAATTCCAAAACAAGACAAAAGTCTCGTGGCCTAAAAAATCATCTCGAAAGCAGATACGACCTGACCAATCCCTTCAAACGGCGCTGTACTCGGTCTTGATTCAACGATCTTTACTTTTCTTTGTCATTAAGCAAGTTTATTCTACTTGAAATTACCTTACCAAATTCAACTATGACCCTGTTTTACAAGCGCGTGAACAATGACAATGACGTGGCATAAATGAAAAAATTCAATTATATACGTCACGTACTTCAAGCAATCAGAAGAAAGTAGTGAAAGAAATTTAAAGTAAAAAGCTCAACTGAATGAAGGTCGCACTTAGGAATAGATACTTTGCTCTCTCGACCCTGAAACTCTGAGCTTTTGCAGTCAGAAGATTTCCGCAAACGTTCCTACAATCCAATTGGCATATTTCTCCGAAATTATCACAAAAAAATAACGAAACCTCACGACCTAAACGTTTTGGAAACGGTAGAAGTCCCACAAATTTAACAGAAATGACCAACGAGAGAATTTTAAAGGACGCGTATCACCAAAGCGGCGTAGGACCGCCGAGCGCGTGAGAGTGCCCTGTCCTTTAGGCTGCGTTCAAATATTGTTACTGCGAAGAATCCGCAGAAGAAATGCAGAGTTCGATTGGAGTGTTGCAGAAATGCAGAGTTAATAAATTGAAGAATTACAGAGCTGACGAGGAGGATTAGGAACGTGTCGGTCTTCCTACACACTACTTTCTGCCTTTTTTCTTATTTTTCTTCTTATATTTCTTCAGATCGTGTCGTCAGCTCTTCTCGTCAATTCTTCAATTCTGCACTCCTTCGAGTCGTTGGTTCCTCACTGCCGCAGGCTGTGAACGCGGCCTTATGAAAGCCACCCGCTCATCGAAGAGAAAAGGCGCTCCACGGACAGTGTGACGGCGGAAAGCGCGAAATTCGAATCTTTCAAATGGCGGGAAAATTTGACGTTCGAGTGATGCGCGAAAGTGAGCGTTTCTTTTTAATCGTTGCCCGGTTGAGCAGAGTAGCTACTCTTCTATGTTTTCGCTTGTCTATATTTTTTCCTTCTCTAATACTGCAATATTTTTGGTTAACTTGACTTCGTTCGCCTATAAATCAGCTGTTGCTCTCAACAGGCCATTTTCAGGTTACTAACATCGTCGCTACGTCTTGAAAATGTCTAACTTCGACAATGCAGGACTTTACTATCAGGTAAGCCTAGAAACTTATTCTCATCAGAAAAGTTATGATTTAAAAGCTGAGAATGGGAGTAGCACCAGTTTAGCAATAATTTCATAGATTTCAGCAAGGGATCGCTGACAACGCACGATTTCTTACTTACTTCTTCTTTTCTTTTCTTAACAATTTCCAGATTAACGATCTCGTTCTATTCTCGAGAATTATCTATTCAGGAACGATTTTTCGCTAACGATGGAGTCCCTGATCAGGGACGTGAGATGATTGCAGAATATCGCCAAATATGTGAGCAGTTTCGCCGATTCATTAGGGAGTTCTCCATTGGAGGAACAGGAGGTCTTCACTATCGGTATGCTACTTTCGTAGTTTTCATTTTCCTGAGTTTTGTGAAGAGCAAGTCAGCTAGGGGCACTTAATTGCCCCATTAAATCTGGAACCCATCTGGTTCTCACGAAGAATTTTGTCCACGCAACATCGGCTCCTTCCCATTGAGGTTGAGGCGACAGTACTCATCCTCACGGTTGTTGCTCATAAGGCAGTCCCAGTTTTTCAGGAGTCTTTGACTGCCCTTTAGCAGGCTTGCACTTGTAATCATCGTCCTTTTGAAGTGGAAGCGGACATTCCCGCACTGTAGTGATTGCTGCTCCTTTTTTTCAGTGACGAACTTAAGAAGAATTACAATGCTAAGTACTACATGCTTGAAGTTAATCTAACCCATCTGAAACAATTCGATGAAGACGCTGAATCGAAACTGCGCACTCATCCGGGAAAATACTTGCCCGCTGTAAGCTATTTATGAATTTTCGCTGCACTTAAACAGTATTGTAGAACTCCGATCTTCCAGTTCGAAGAAGCTGCACGTACGGTAGCTGATGAACTTACCGCTCCAAGACCAGAAGGTGAAGAGGAAATGAAAGACATCCAGGCTAGTATTTCCATCAGTCCGTTTTCCTGTGATCTTTTTACAGTCCGAAGATTAATACTTCTAAAATAATATATGTGCAGGTTTGCCTGACTCTGGACGAGTATCCCACGTCGATACGCAGAGTAAAAAGTGCTCAAGTCTCTCAGGTTGTGAAGATATCGGGCATAATTGTAGCAGCTTCGCAGGTACTTACCTTGGCGTTCTTCTAGAGGGAAATATCTACTACTATTTCAACTATTATCTGCTCTGCTTCAGGTTCGTGCTAAAGCGACAAAGATCACGTTGCAATGTCGCACTTGTCGGCACACCATCAGCGACCAAATGCTCAAGCCAGGCTTGGAAGGTTTCCAGCTGCCGAGGACTTGTGGAGCGTATGTCGTAACTCTCCTGTCTCTATAAAGCGAGTAACTGATGGCATTATTTCAGTCCCCAAGCCGGACAGCTCCAGCGATGCCCTGTTGACCCATACCACATCGTGCCCGATAAGTGCCACTGTGTGGATTATCAAACCCTGAAGCTGCAAGAAAACCCTGAAGATGTTCCACATGGAGAAATGCCACGACACCTACAGTTGTACTGTGACAGGTATGAAATATTTATTGACTAATAATCAATACGCGGTAGTAAACAAGCAAACATTGCAGATACCTCACCGACAAAGTTGCTCCAGGAAATCGCGTTACCCTCGTAGGAGTGTTTTCTATTAAGCAACTGTTCCAGAAGGTAGGAAACTTGCTATTTGGCATAATACAAAGTTTTGAGATAAGTGTTATTGTTTCAGGGCAGGAAAAACACCGACAAGACATTGACCGGGATCAGAACACCATACCTTCGTGTACTTGGTATCCATGTGGAAGTTGGTGGCCCCGGGCGAGCTGACTTCAAACAGTTCACTCCTGAGGAAGAACGTAGCTTCAAGTATGTTGAAACAGCTCTCATCTTCAGACTGCTGTGGTATCGACCTACGTGATGTTGTTTGTTCAAAAAAATCCTCGTTAGTAATTTTTGAGTTCAGCATCTCGCCGACTCCTCATAGTTGCAAACAGGCGCTCATATACTCTCCTCTTTGTAGCGGATGAAGGGGCATGTCAGGCAGGTTGGGTTTAGTGCTGAGCCAAACCATTTTCCACCAGTTGTTAAAGGAGCAAGCGAGAACAGTGAATCATATCGTTTAAATCAGTCGTTTTCCGCCAGTTTTTGTCGCTCACCCGAATGAACTATCGGTTCTTAGCGGCGCGCCATACTCACCCCGCCTTCGCACCTCCCTTCATTCGCAGCTAAGAAGGCTACGAAAACTTCCTGAAACAATCTTTCTCGTGAGCCATTCAGATCTGCCTAAAACCCATGTTGTTCAGAGAGTTGGCTCAGCGTCCTGATGCCTATGAACTGATCGCAAAGAGTATAGCGCCGTCTATTTATGGATCGGTGGACATAAAGAAGTCTATTGCCTGTTTACTGTTTGGTGGATCTAGAAAAAGGTATGCTCGTCCAAGTCTTTTTGTGGTTTTGATTGATTTTAAATATCTCTTCAGACTCCCTGATGGACTTACACGACGTGGTGACATCAATGTGCTACTACTGGGAGATCCTGGTACAGCTAAATCTCAACTTTTGAAGTTCGTTGAGCAGGTAAACAACGGCTTTGCTGGTTATAAAAATAAACAGGTGAATGAATGGTTCAATATTGAGTTTCCTCCAGGTGGCCCCAATCGGTGTCTACACTTCTGGTAAGGGTTCATCAGCGGCCGGTCTTACCGCATCGGTAATCAGAGACCCACAATCGGTGAGTTTTTCTAAGATTTTGGGCAGTAGTGGATCTAAATAAAAGAAAGTTTAGCGCACCTTCATGATGGAGGGCGGAGCGATGGTGCTAGCCGACGGAGGGGTCGTTTGCATCGACGAGTTTGATAAGATGCGTGAAGACGATCGTGTTGCGATTCATGAGGCAATGGAACAGCAAACTATCTCCATCGCTAAGGTCTTATAAAACTTGGCACAGTGCGGTTTGGTGGGGGCATTTTGCTGGTTTCCATTGTACTGTCGTTTTCTCCTGTGAAGACCTGTAAATTCCTGTGAAGCCGGGCAAGAGCAGGAGCTTCGTTTACACTTGACAAGTGTCTGCAGGTCTCATCAAGGTGAAGCATGTAATTTAACAAGAACTAGCTGAACTGCAAGATGCCCCCCCCCCCAAACCTGACACTACCTAAAATTGGAGCCACCTGAAGTGTAAAACATAATAAGTAAAATTTTTTAGGCGGGTATTACGACAACATTAAACTCTCGGTGTTCTGTATTGGCAGCAGCAAACTCGGTGTATGGACGATGGGATGACAGTCGTGGAGATGAAAATATCGATTTCATGCCTACTATTTTATCCCGTTTCGATATGATTTACATTGTTAGGGATACTCATGACGTGAAAAGAGATGAGGTAAGTTAAGTGAAAATGTTATTAAGTGAGCATCGCAGAAGTTGAGGGGGCGAAGGCACCGCGCAACTAAACCCGCTCCTCTGCGTCCCAGACGAGAATGCTCAGACTCTGGTTGTCTGCGCTAATCTCAGATTCAGTTCGGGGAGGATATTCATTTAGTCGAACTGCTGCATGACCCCTCCACCTCATTTACAGTAGCATCGTTAGCTGCATTTCGATGACGACATGTTGCTTTCAGACCCTAGCGAAGCACGTCATTGACGTCCACGTGAACGCATCCAAGAATAAGGATAAAGCGATGATAGAGAAGGAGGTCAATGTGGATGCCAAGACGGAAATGTTCGACGCCGATGGTTTCCTTACATTAGGTGAGTCCAATTTGAGTCAATTCCAGCTGAGGGGGAGTTTTGAAGCACTCCTTGTCTAAAACTGTCATAGAAGACTTTTCATTCAAAAAAATTGGTTCAAACATCCTGCAATTTCTTCCCTTGCTTGAACAGGGCCCATATCCATCATGCAATTCCACCTTTGCCCAAGTATCCTTTGAGACCGTTGCTAGCTAATTTGCTCCGTTTTTTTTTCAGCAAACGTTTCCCTGTCCATAGAGACCGACCATAGACAGAGACAAATTGTGGGAAGAGGGATGTTCGGAAGCCCGGAAGGGGTGAGCTGTGGACGAGCTTATACATTCGCTATCACTGAAGTTAGTCTGATGAACGCTTTTGGCGCAGCGCTAGCCCTTTTCCCAGCACTTGATCGATGGAAAATGGGTTGGCGCTCTACTAAAGTCCAGGTCCCACTGACGCGCCCGCCTGGTAACCAATGTTGACAGGGTTGGGTCTGCATTATCCTGCAGTGTGTATTTTGCAATTAGTTGATCGAAGGCAGTGGACAATCCGAGTAAATTAGCGGTTCCCTCGAAGAAAGTATTTTGTGACAAAGTTGTTTCCCTGCTTGTTTTCGATGCTTTTTTTTGTTCCGTCGAAGGTTCCTGGGCAGACCTTTTTACTGATTACCTGCAATTTTGAGCAGTTGTCTGAGAGCCGTAGTCCCGCCTTGTTCGGCGTCTTTGCTCAAGCTGGTGGACTGAACCTCTTATAACGACCACCTTGTCCTCAGGTCAACGATAAAACGTTCCCCTTAATAACCTGAAACATCACAAGTCCCCCCTCTCCTTCTGGTATATCTAGAACATTTCCTACTGAAGGGCCTTCTGTATTTCAGGTTTTCTGAAGAAATACGTGTCGTATGCGAGAACTCATTGTGGTCCTCGACTCAATGTCCAAGCTAGCGAGAAACTCGCGAGTAACTACGTCCGTATGCGCAATCCACCAGTGGATGCAGACCTAATAGGTTTGTTCTTGAGGGGCTTTCCTGAGAAGTGCTTAATCAGTTGTCTTTTTGCAGCGATGAGTAAAAAAACAGCGAAAACGTCGATTACTATAACGGTCCGTCAGCTCGAAGCTGTGATCAGAATGAGTGAAAGCTTGGCAAAGATGGAATTGCAACCGTTTGCAGTTGATAAACATGTGGATGAAGCGCTTCGCCTGTTCCGTGTGTCCACCGTAGAAGCTGCGGCCAGTGGACATCTCGCAGGTAATTCTACGCCTTCAGTTGTTGAAGATGACCAACGAGGAAATTTTTGGTCCTTAAATTCATCGATTTGGTCCAGGTATCGAGGGATTCACGTCTGACGCGGATCAAGAATCCATGCAAAGAATCGAAGCACAGATGAAGAAACGCTTCTCTGTGGGGACCCACGTCTCAGAACTTGTCATAGTTCAAGATTTCGTCACACGCCAACATTACAATGAGACTTTGGTCAAGAAGGTGAGAACATCTCCCTGGAAGCCTTTACCTGGAGCTATATTTCAACCAGAATAGAAACAAGCGCTCCATTTTCAGGTAATCCTGAACATGGTCAGACGCGGGGATCTACAGTACAAGATGCAGCGAAAGATGCTCTATCGTGTTCGCTAAAGCCCATTGAAATCATTTTTCATTTGATTGTTCATGTTCCATTTTGCATGTTGTTGTATGGACATGCTTCCACAAGATCTCTTCAAATCCTGAGTGTTGCCTTTTGGACGTGTAGATAAAAATTATGTTTTTGAATGTTTTGTTTTGATGCAAGTGAAAAAAGGTGCCGTTCTTTGACGCCACTTCTTGATGTGTAGAAAGACGACGTGAGGGCTGTTGTCTTTACGCAATAGTTGTATCGATCGATGCTCAAAGTCGCGACCGCTCGCCTACGCTTCATATATTGCGGTGAGCGTATAATCCTGACAACCTCTGGAGCATACTGTGAACGATGCAGCAGGAACGAGTGACATCACAACCACCTGGGTAATCCATGGATGGCTTAGGGACCCTGGAGAGTTCAGTTTCATCTTTAATCGACTGGGTGGGTGGAGCTAGTCTGAAGGAGGCCGGGTCAGGCTGTGGTCATAAAGCAGTGGCACTCTCTTCACATGTTCTCAAGTAGCGAAATGGTACACCATGCGTAGCTGCCAATTTGCTCACATTATGCGCGTCAGATTACTGCTATTCTCATGGCGTTCTTTGATCAGTGTAAAGTTTGAGATCGCGCCATACTTTGCGACCAGAGCGACCAAATCGCTAGCGCGTATGGAGAGTGAAGTCGCAAAGTATGAATGCGCTCTTGTCTCTGCCCTTTTTCCGGGAAAAGGGAATGGCCAACTCAGCATTTCTCATTGCTGTGCCAATCCCATCAGGGGCGGTCGTATATATTCTCTGGGAGAGGGAAGATCGTGTTTGGCCTCAAGAAAGGCCCTTCCCAATGTTGAATTTTCCCATTTCGCGCGCGTTATACACTCTGCTTCAATGACCGTGCCGTAGTCTTTCCGATGGCAGACCTCCTGCACGACTGCAAAGGTCTGGGTAGGATGTTTACTAGGTTCTAACAGCGGGTCATATTGAGATACCAAGATCTTTTACTTTGGATTGGAAATGGGGGGGGGTCGTATTCACACTGCCTTTCGCACACCTTAATGATGTCCCACTCCAACCGCTCCTCTCTCTGGCGCGGAGTACTCTCCCCTTGAAAAATCTTTTTTCTCTATTCGCACGTGTTTTCCCCCACACCTTTCGACGCCCGGGGGAACGCTAAAATCTACTTGCCTGCACTCACGGATTTTGCGATGGGACCATACGAAACGCTCAGGACGTCATATGCAGTATTTATCACTGAAGGCAGTAGAAGCATACCAGTGGGCATGGGTTTGCACTCAACACCAGCCCGTTTTCCATTGATCGGCCTCACCTATAACGAGGCTAACGAGCTATATAGGCGAACGGAAAGCTTCTTGTCATGCTGGCCAAGTTTCCACCTCGAAGGGTTCGGTGACGCATTAAGAAGTTCCATTAAATTTTAGTGAAATTCGTGTGCATGGCGTGCTCCCAAGGAATCATCAAACTTTGAGCGTTTACAAACTTTGAGCGTTTCTTCCACTTCCCTTAAAAACCCGTGTTTCAGCGAAAATTGATAAGGAAAACGTGGGAGGTCGAAAACGGTGAGATGTGGAATCTCTTCGTGCCATTCGCAGCTCCTGAAGGTCCAAATGAACCACATTCAGGGTCAGTACATGTGGCACTCTGGGGATCCGAGATGGGCTCGTACATAGAGGTGTAAGGAGGGGGTGGGTCGTTATAGCTTGAGGAAAAAATACCTCGATTGTAGACTTCCCTCCTTTAGCGCACGCTATACATCCCTTATTTGTGGGCGCAGCAAACCTACTATTTATGATGCTTAATCGGAGATAATTACCCCTAAGCTCCGGTCTACTGTAGCAGCTCGGGAAACCTGGTATGATAGTTGGCAGGTCGTGGAAAGGGGTGGAGGAGGAAATATGGGGAGGAGTAGGGGTATCTGGCAGAAAATCCTCCCCAGCGCCAGAATTTGCCCTGGTCAGGGTGGACAATTCATACCCAGCTCTTCTGCCAAGATTATAGGAATGCCATCTTCTGATTCCCAGTTTAATAGTTAGCATAACTCTTTAGTAACTTGTTTTCTGCAAAAAGTTAGTGTTGACAATGGAAACATCTGTTCCTTGCTTGACTGATAGCCCGTCTGACAAAAACAGCTCCTCAAAAACGTCTTTAATAAACAAACAACTCATTGAAAAATAAATGAACACATGTTTGTTATCGCGGTTTGTTGAGGAGGTGCGACTGATCAACAGAAAGCAGAAAACAGTTGACAAAGCCTATTGAAAAATTCCGAGAAATACCTCGACAGACTGAATATCTCTGTGAAATAAAAAAAATGGAGGTTTGTCGGCACTATTCAACTATTACTACCCCACTTTTTGCGAAACAGGCCGGATCTGATCGACCTTTTTCTACGGGGCAGATTTGGCTGAAATTTGAGTTTTAGGGGTAATTAGACCTCGCGAACACGAATAATATCCACTTGGCCTGAAAGTGCCTGGTGCGTGCGCCCACAGGCGTCATTGATTTAGGACATTTTGGCGGCGCGCCTGTGGCCTGCTCGACAAAATCGGGTTTCAGGTTCGAGCGATATATATTCGCGTTCAGAGGTCGAACTACCCCTTGAACGCGGAACAGTCATATACCGGCTCAATCATAGCCTGAGGTTTCAGCGGATTTGGTAATCTAGGGTACTTTGACGCCGGCGCCTGTGGCGCGGGCGCCAGGCAGCTTCAGGAGGAGCAGATGTGATATCCGTGTTCAGGAAGTCGAATTACCTCTAAAACTCAACTTTCAGCCAAATCTGCCCCCGTAGAAAAAAGTCGGTCAAGGTCCGGCCCCGAATATTTAATATTTCCAGATGGCCCTAAAGCAGTAGGTACGCATGGAACTGTTACTATTCATTTCTGGGAAGAAGTCAGTGGTTTTTCCTGATATTCCCACCAGCACCGAGCCAACAGCCGGTCATTTTATGCTGAAATCTGATGTCAGCGATGACCCTTAGGTTTTTCCGACTCGTTCGCCTTTCGAGTTCCGTGAAATTGGCCATTATAATCTGTACTAGTCAGCTGCAATCGAGTAGCTCTCAGGGTTTTTCACTGGCTAATTGCATCTTCAAATTACGAACACTACCGCAGCACTACTTGGCACCGACACATTGTGGGGGTTTTTCAACCGTTACTAATTTGTTAGTGAGCCGTGGTGACAGATGTCGCTGGGAACTTGGAGCCTCTGAATGACCTAGCCCGTGGGGAATCCCTTTTCAAGTCTTTAGGTACTCATTTGACTACCAAACCTAAATGTTGAACAGTACTAATACAAATTAACTAGTTCCTGTTAAGCAGCAGAGATGTGGGAAGAGCTGCAGCGAAATGAAGTTACGATGTACGGGTGTGACATCTAGAGTGTAGCACTGTCGCGTTGAATCAGTTAGATTCTTCTCTCCGAAACGCGGTTCTCCTGCTCCTCAAGCCTTTGATATGTAAAAATTTTTCCGAAAAAATAACTCACTGCAGTTTTACACAACAGTAGCAAAAATTTGCGAGCTATTGAATTACGGAAACCAAAAGCAACCGAGCATATGCTGTTTTCAAGCATTTGCTCTCGAAACGAATATGCTGTAAAAAAACCTGAACTTTTGTCGTGAAGCACGTCAAAAGATGAGCACAGACAAAGAAAAAATTTTCCAGGGGCTTCACAGGGGCTGCTGGAGGTTCACATTGAAAAAAGTTTTTCCTATCATCTCCAAATAACTTTTATCGAGTGGTAGCAAAAACTGAACTGCTTCTTGGGGGAACTGACTGAATGATTGCTGTAGTTTGTTCCAAGTTCA